AAAAAAAAAAGGAAGACGAGCGACTACGCCTATGAGTAACGATGTAACACACGGGTTAAATTGCCGGCCGGATAATTCGTCGCAGAGCGTCCCGTCCGATATTGAAAGTTTAAAAAGCCGACGACGCGAGCGCCACTTCCGGTATTCACGCGTATATTCCCGGCATCGACGATCGATCAGCTCTATCAGCAGGTCGTGGCACCGGCCGATTCTGCGTTCGGAGGAAACTGACACGCCCACGCACACTGCCGCAGCGAACACGTCTCGTCGATCATATCCGCGGTAATGTTGGTAAGTGTGCCAAACTTCCGGCACCGATCACCCTCCACTTGCCTCCATTACGTTCTGTTAATTCGACGCGATTCTACTACTGTGTTTGTCCGTTGCTCGCGTAAACCTTGCAAATTAACTGTGTGTGTTAACGATACGCAACATCTCGGTGCGAATTGAAGAATGAATTTTGCAAACGACATTTCGACGATATTTATATGTAAACAATAGGGAGAGTATTTAGGCAAGCGTATTTAAAATGAAAAAAATAATTTCCACGACTGTGCGCTACACTTAACTACTACAATATACGTGCTTAAATACACACATAGATTAAAGACTTGATCTGACGTGTGGAATGATATTGGCCCAGCCTGTACGCAACAGGAACGCTTCGAGAGAATTTCATTCGAGGCAACGGTACTCGATTACTCCGCAAGGTCGTTCTCTCTCTCTCTCTCTCTCGAAAACTGAGAAGCACTTCCAGCGCGTTTTCTAACGTCGAGCCATTTCAGAAACGCGCCGAGAGCGTCGTGCGGCGCGGCAAGCGTATTAAAACGTATCGATCGATCAATTACCAACGCGCTATAAACCAATAAAACTCGAACGTAAAAGCGAAACGGTACAACGGATGCGTGTTTGTTTATTAATAAATCTGCCCGCAGGATGAGGACAATCGAGGCACGATTATGTAAACTGCTCAATAGATAAGCCACGTGCTGCCGCCGTACGCGTAATATCACTTTCACGGTACAAGCTAAATCCGTCTATGTAGTAAATGAGTAAAATCAATGAACCGAACCCACTGGTATATATTCTTGGAATAGATACGTCAGTAACGTGTGGGACGCGCATTGTTAGTTATCTAGTTCTATTAAACGAGAGAGAGAGAAGAAAAGAAACGAAAGGACAAGAGAGAGAAAGAGAGAGAGGTGAGCATCCACGGCAGTGCACTTCATTGCTCAATGACAAAAGCTCGTTAGTGAAGCTTCGCTGAGCTTCTATCCATTGGCCTTTTAGGACGGCCACAGACGACGACGGCAGAAGGCGAGCAACGTCAACCGGAGACACGTTGACATTTTTCGGAGACTATCCAAGGTCAATCTTCGCGGCGTAATCGGCAAGAAAACAGCCTTTGTTAACCGTAAGTGATCCTTATGACTGGACTGTGAATAATAATATAATTTATGAGAAGTATATTTATAAGGATGCCAAAATGTACAGAATGTTCAAAGTATAGGCACTAATTGTCCTCTCTAGTTAAAGTTAAAGTTCCTGCCCTACTGTTATCAATTAAAAATGTTCGATTCTTACCAACCACTCCTTTGCTAGAGTTTAGAGAAATTCCTAATTCAAAATTCCTTCCTAAATTTCCTCTGTTAGTGCTGTTCCTTTGAAGTTTGAGTCGAGTATGTTAATATCTTGATCGTATGTTACTTACAGGGTAAGACAATTCTACGAAACGGTAGATAATACCTGTGACTTAGTTACTTCTTTAATCGATAATTTTAGAACTACAGGCTTCCTTGAAATGTCTCCATGGGGAAATGAAATTTTCGAATCTCAACGCTGGCGATTGTAAATATCGCTAATGTAAATAACACATAACGCATAGAACCAGTTAGAAATAGTTGGCGATGTTTTCTTGGTAAGGTAATATTTTCTTTCCTCAGTGGTGCTTCACTTCGAGGCGAATCGGATATATTCAATAGATCGTATGCTCGCGTTTGATTGAGCCAATCATTGAATCGGAAAGCGTTATGAGATAATAGGAAATGTGAGAAAAGCCAATAGACTTTAAACTCGTACTTAAATTTAAAATTTGTATCTAAAAGTCTAAACGAATGACCTAGCTACGTATCTAACTAGATTCTCAACAAAGAGTGAAAACAAGAAGATTAAATCTGTTAAATCTGAGGCTGACGAACTAGCTTTACACTCTCTTATGCCTTCCTAATCCTCTTACAATCGTATGCAATATGTATACTGAAATTTTGAACAACAGATGTACATTCTTATATAAAATTTTTAATCCACGAGAAACATACCCAGAAACTGTAACTTTCTAAATATCTTATCTCACACCTTCCTGTTACACACGAAAATGTAATTATCGAAAAAATGTACCAGAAATATGTACGTACTGCGAGAAAGTTTCGCGTGCACAAATCACAAAATTCTACGAGGCGCATTGCGCACGGTTATTAATTGTGGGCCAGGTACTGTACAATATTTGCAAAAGTACGGAGGATCGCTTGATAAAGGCTGAAGGACAGCGAAAGAGGTAAGTTTTCAAGCCGGTCCTCGTTCGTATTAAGAATGTCTCGAGTGCGAGTCGAGTCGGTGTCCCTTCTATACTTCCCTGGCTGCCCTCTCCAGAGGCACAACCCAGCCTGACGACGACGTGCCCGACACTCACGATCGATCCTATAGCCGTGCGGACGCCGGCTCCGGCGTTTCGTGTGCAAAGGTGAAAATCATTTTCATCGAAGGTTCATCGACTTCGAGAACGATCACCGATTTATCTTTTCGAGTTAATTTTCTCAAGCGTGACGTCACTCGACAGGATTTATTTCCCTTCGATGAAACAGATTTCTCTCTCGCAAGCCGATCGATACTTTTTCAAATGAATATACCGAGTGAAGTTGAGCACCATATTTCCGGTAAAGACACGCCGCGAACCGTACAGTTCGTTGCGTACAGCTCTCGAGAAATTAACCGTATGACGAGTCGATCGTCAGACGAATCGATCGCCGTCGAAATCGATGCATTTCACACGAATGATAACTGGACCAGTCGAAATTCTGGGCCAACCTCAGTGAATTCTTCCTTTTCGTGCGATTCACGTCTCTGTTCGGGCGTCGCGAAACTACCCACCAGACTTACGAGATATGTACTTCGTCCCTTCCGATAGATCAGGTTATGTCAGAAAGTGGAAGAAATAGAAAGGAGATTGGAAGAATATCCCTGACGGAGCATCCTACGTTGTACAATCGAGCCGATTCATTGATGGAGAAAACGAACGAGATACGGGTGATGAGTTGATTTTCTCACTCACTTCCTCGCGGCGTATCACTTCCACCTGCAGCCGCTTCTGATACTCCTCGCATTCATCCTTGTACTTCTCCATTTCTTCCTTGGTCTGCCTCATCTTCTTCTTGAGCACGTCAAGAAGGGTGCCTTGCACTTGCCCCGACATGCTGCTGAATATTCGCGCGCGTTACCGTTTTCTCACTTGTGAATCGTCGCGATTCCGAGTCTAACGTACAGATCGAGGTGACGCTCGAACGATGAACGAGAAAATGGAGAATCTAAGATAACCGGTAAACACGACGTACGGAGATAAAATATATCGGGGCACGATAGACAACCGGTACCCGTACGAGAAAGAGAGTTTCGTAGCCTCCGAGCTGTCGTACACTGACGACCACTGGCTGCTGTTGACTGGAAAGCAAGATGGCCGCCCCCGGTCGGGACGCGCATGCGCACTAACGTACTGCGGACGTCAAATAGTCCCTTGCCCTTAGCGACGCTTCTTCGACGAGAATATTTCGTGAATAATTTCTATTCTATCAAAAATTGCAATCGATATCATCGTTGTAATGCTTCCTACCTAATCACGCCTGTGGTCACGAGGACTCGGTTCATCGGTTTAATTGTTAATTTTTCCTTTTCGTCGCCGTATCGCGTAAAGCGTGATGCGCACGCCGAGTATCGCTCCGCCGATCGACGTGTCGTCGCGCGCAAAGCCCCGGAAATACCGCGCCCGTCCCGAGCGCGCCCAACCGTTCGAATGGATGGCCGACAACAATTCCTGCGTTGTTTCGCTTCTTCTGCTTTTTCATCCGCATCGAGGGGCAACTCGCGTTCATTTCTACGCATCGATGACAATTCCAGTACCAACGTGATCCTCCTTCGATTCGAAACTGGTGATTTCGATTTTTACGATGAGAAGTAGTAAGTGGTACGAAATGGACGAGCGAATTTAAATAATAATTGAAATCAATAGTGTAACAGTTAGGTGACCCACGCTAATAAATTATTATTCACTTTGTATGCATTGAAGAGATTTAATAAAGACATGATTATGAAACAAAGGGAAGAGCGAATTGTACCATGATGAACTAACTTATGAATTACTGGAAATAATGTTTTATTATTATGTTCAAGAGCAACGTAATTATTATAATATTATTATACGAGTTATATCCGTTAATTGAACGTCTTTAATAAATTATAGCCTAATTATTTTATTTGAGAATTTAATTCCGAACTATTTTACGAAATGTTTCATTTGTACTATATATTTCGCAATGTAAATTCACAGTATTCATGGTATGCTCTCAATTTAATTTGCAATGCATTTTATCGAGTTTTACTGGCTGTGCTTATTAATTTCAATTGCTAGCTTACGTAGCGAGGAATTAATTATATAATCTAATCAAAAACTCGGAACGTACTCCGAACTCGTATTATCCGAGATACTCTGTCAATAATATTTCACATACAGAAACTGGACAGATAAGTCGAAAAATGATTATACGATATTGTATTTACGAAGAACTTCCGTAGCTCCATCTGCAATATATTCAGTCATTTCTACGTAAATTCAAAGAGTATGCAAATCCCGGGTTAGCATCGAATTAAGAACAATCAACCGAATTTGAATGTAGGTCCGAGAATCCAGAGATACAGCCATCGGAATATGCGAGGAATGCAAGTACAGATGGCGGCACATGATCTGCGCGAAATCACAGAGAACGTGACGTGTAAACATTGGCCAAGATAAGTGGGTGTAAAGAAATAAATCTTGTTTCAAAGATCGATAATGGCGTTCCAAATTCCGGTGCAATATGTCACAAGTATTTTGCAATGCTGTTACACTATATATCGTGTATCATCACCGGCTTATAAATGCTTGTAACGAAGCGGATTTGTGCGCGTTCCGAGAGCGGTGCTTACGCAATGCTCTCTCGGAGTGCCGAATAAAAGAGCCGCTGGATCTGTGTACCAACCGCCACGTATTTTTAGACTGTTGACGACTGTTATTCATATTACCAGCGTAGAGTGGGGTTCGTTTTTGAAAATGAGTTCCAAAAAACATATTATACATACGTACGATATGATATTTCTTTTATTTGTGAAGTTATTTTATTTATCTTGTAAAAATATGAGAACTATTGAGATTTTTAAAAAATTATCAAACTCCAATTGTAAAACATTGTAAACAATTTGACGACGGATTGTTGCACGTTTAAGATTAGGTTAGGTTGCTCGTGAAACACAATGTATTACATAATTAGTAAAAACTTCCAAGTTTGGCGATGTAGCACTCACTGAACAGACACGCGTCATATTTCAACGAAATTAAACCAGAAACGAATTACGAACGTGGTAAGAACGTCGATGGACGTGACCGTACATAAATAATGAGAATTCGAGCTACCTGACCGTACAGTTGCTTGCAGCTGACTAAATAAGAATACCATTTATCGTGTTGGATGAAAAAAAAAAGCAAAGTTTAACCCATTGTCCCCGTTCAGTAACCTTAACAATAAGTGTCCCTTTGTCGGGCGATCGTGCATCATTGAGCTTCGTAAAAAGTCCCTCACCGCCACAAGAACTGCTAATGATCCTCTCAAGTATTATTCCACGATCGCGACAAGTAATGCATTATTTATTTAGCGCGCGATAATGTGAACTGATTTCGATTTCCAGTTGGCAACGGCTGAAATTCCAACGTATTAATCGGCCTTTCTCTAATCAACATTCGCGGCGGTTCGGTAATTTTCCAGAATGAACGGTAGAAAAGAGCGTGTAATTGAAACGTAACAAGAAAGAGTAACGAGAGCTGTCTGCTTTGTAAACCTTCTCGAGCAACGTACGATTTAATGGTCGGTAACGTCGCCACTAGATCACCTAACCTAACAGCGTGCGTATTTCTAACCCGTTCATAATCGTACAAGGTATCGAATTTCACGAAGATTGCCTCGTTCAAGGGAACTGTAAGTTGAAAAAACGAAAGGTAAAATTATATAGACGGGTAGTAGCGCAATATGATTCGAGAGAGAAAGCGAGATTTTGATTGGTCAGAATCTCTTTCCATTATCAAGGGCTGAATGACCCTCGAGGACCCATTGGCTGATGTTAAACTGCATCAAGGTCACGTCATACGGTGACCTTGTATCACGCAATACGCAGGCCGGGCGCATCAGCGACATATCATCATGTGATACTGACCCGTTTCAGTTGGTTGCCCATAATATTCTGCAATTCGTTCCTTATGAGGCCGAATTTCATCATCGTGTCGCTGGAGAATATGGACCATCCGAAGGCTAATCCGGGATAATCGGCGCATCTCTTTCTTCTTCTTGCCTCTCTTTCAGCTTGCACCTCGGTTCTTTCGCTGGGACATCTGAGCTTAGCAAGTTCAGCGAGTTCCGGATCCTCCTCGACGTTCGTCGACTCGTCGTCGGAGTTCCCGTCACCGCGAGCCCTCGCGACCGCGTGCTCAGGCTCCGGCGAGTTCTCTTTGCTTTTCGTCTCGTCGTCGGACTTGTTCCCACGTGGTTTCGTTCGAGACCTCTCGGTCGATGCATGCTCTGTCTCGTAGCTGTCAAAGACCTGGTTCTCGTGTCTGTTGTCGCGAACGAATTGTTCGCGTTGGTCACCGAGAACATCCAGGCTACACTGCGCGAGCCTATGTCGGACGTTCTTCTCTCTCTCATCGTCTTCGAGCTTCGTTTTCTTGATCTTTTCGCTGTTTTCGTTGGACGATGCGTCTTTCGCATTGGCGGTGACCGTCGGATGATCTCGGAGCCACCTCGCGCCAACGATCGTGGGCACTGTCACCGCAGTCGAACGCACGGTACCGATGACATTGCTTTTTTCGTCGAGCCTCGATGACGTTGTAGTCGTTGGTGTTTCGTTGCTTCCAATCGGTGTACCTTTAACGATATCAGCAGGGCCACACTGCGCGGGTCCTCTGCTGGAAGTATCGAGACGTCGGCGCGTAGCGTGTCGCGGATGATGTTGATGACCGCGACGTCTCGTGGTCGATGTGAGAGCTGGTTCCATACTATCCAGCTGCCAACCTTTTTACCTAACCCCTTTCGTTCCACTATTAATTTTTTTTATTTTTTATCGTGCTCTTTTTATCACTGTTATTACCACCGCACAAAGCACACCGCCATCTTGTCTGTCACTGTTCGTAACACGTTTCTCACCGCGCCATACATACGTACGTGCTCTTGCCTGTCTCTCTGTGTTGCACGCACACACCGTCCCGTCCTGTTGCGGGCGAACGCATGCACGAGAGGAGACACGCTGGTCTTCGCTCTCTGCACCGTCCTGGTCTGATTTCTATCTTGCTTTCTCTCTCTCTTTCTTTGTCTATTGCTCTATGTTCAATCCAGGTTACCCCTACCACACGCCAACTACGGAACCGAAGTTGGCCGAGCACCGCCGAACAAACGAAACGGCAGCTTCGCGTACTAACGCTCGACTGTGCGCTCACTTCGCGGGGAACCTGCTCTTTCCTCGCGGGGCGCTTGCGCACGATCGCCGCGACATCTCGTGACGCTTGAACGTCACTACTCTGTCGGTAACGACGCGAAGTGAGTGATAAAACTCGCGGGTTTTCACGTTCGAA